TACTGTGTTTCACAGTCAACACGTATGGCTTTTTGGCTAGGTTTAAAGGAAAATAGCACTTTTAGATAAACAAGGCAATTATAGATGGCACTCGTGGAGGTAGGAAAACAAAGTTCTTTACGAACCGAAGTATTGCTTGTAATAAAGATTTAAATGCAAAAGAGAAGGCAGTAGAGCTGTCTATTTCTGTCAATGGTAAGTTTGTGATAACGTAAGAAAAGTAGTTTAAATGTTTTGCCACTTGCTTGAGCAACTTAATATATAAATCTAGAAGTAAATGCAAAAGTAAAAAGCATTGAATAATGTGTTGCTTATATTTGTTTAAACATGTCTGTGAAAGATTGTATTACTGTACTGTGTAAAAAAAGAATTGCAATGCTGAAAAAGCATTTTCAGTGACAATGTTTGGATTTGAAATCAAACTAATGGATAAATGTTGTGTTTGTGGTAAACAGCCACGGATCAGTAGTGGACTCCTGTGTGAAAGCTGCTTCTCCTCTCACAAGAGACACCTAAGAGGGGAATTCACCCCATTTTCAAAAATGAAATTCAGGCCCTGAATAAATGTCTAAAAATCCTGATTGGAGTATCACTATAAATAGTTATAAATGATAAAAAGAAGGCTTTAAAAGATCGGTATCGGTGATCGGTATCGGCAGATACTGCTTTCTGTGATCGGTGATCGGCCTCAAAAATCCTGATCGGAGCACCCCTACTATTGACAGTATTTTCTGATTTATGGGGTGATAAGAGAAATCCAAAATCCCATCTGTAAAAACCTTTATCTCTAATATGTCAACAAAATCGAACAAACATTTTGATCCTGGCATTATCCATTGTTCAGGAAAATGTATGAAAATTAGTGCATCTTAAATTAGGCATTCCCCATTTGCATAATTTAGACATAATATTTCAGAAAACTTGTAATAAAAACAGTTGTCATTATTATACTGTGATTAATCAACTGGGGAAGTATTCTGATATCTATTAGTTGAAACTTTTACCCTATTTGACTGTAGTGTCTTGCCTTAAAATATATATAGTTATAAGTTGTAAAATATAAAAGCTATGTATTTTACTATATATAAAACTATATATACTGTCTTTTTATAAAACATAATAAAAAATGACTAAAACACACACACGTTTCAGAAATGCGGGGCAGAGAGGAGGAACCTTAAACCATGTAAACACATTGCATTACACCAAATACACAAAATAATGTTATTTTTAGCATCGTCATATGACCCCTTTAAAATTACTAGATCTTCAACTAAAATTAAAATGAAAACTGAAAATGTATAAATAAACTTGAATTCAAAATATGAACTAAAACTATAATAGTATCTCAAAGATACTAAAATAGCACACACTATTTGACCTATTCTAATGTTATTGTGTATATTTTCACTTTAAAGTGCTGTAGTTCTATTCTGTGCTCTTAAGATGCCACAGTTTGCAGTGTTAATATGCTTTAAAACAGTACTTCATCTGTCTCTATGAGCTATAATAGTATCTCAAAGTATATAAAAGATACTAAAAAGATAGTAAAATAAATATGTGAGCCTGGAGCACAAAAGCAGTCTTAAGTCGCTGGTTGTATCTCAGCCAAATATTGTCCTATCCTAACAAACCATACATCAATGGAAAGCTTATTTATTCAGATAAATCTCAATTTTGAAAAATTGACACTTAAGACTGGTTTTGTGGTCCAGGGTCACATATTTTATACTAAATGCTAAAATAAATACTAAAATACTAATAAATACTCAAATATATTTCACTTTAAAGTACTGTAGTTCTATTCTGTGCACTTAAATGCCACAGTTTGCGGCGTTAATATTAGGGATGTCAAAATTAATCGCTGCATCGTTGTAGTAATAGACCATAATCGATTATAGCTTACTGATGTCATTCGCATATGTGTTTATTTGTTTACAGCGGTAACCCAGGAAACACTGTATCATTGCTGTTCATAAGCTGCTTTGTTTACAGCGTTAACCAAGGAAACACTGTATCATTGCGGTTCGTAAGCTGCTTTGTTTACAGCGTTAACCAAGGAAACACTGTATCATTGCTGTTCATAAGC